ATATTCTTGTTCTGCTCCAAAGAAAAAATTAATAACTTGCCAATTTTAGTTGACACGCAATAAAAACCCTAATGATGTCGGTCAAACAACACAAGAAGTTAAATCATTGAAAAAACATATGCCGATTGATATCTAACATTCTTAACGTTATACCAAAAAATATATGCTTATGAACTTCTGCACGACTTGTGTTCTGGCCGGTAATTTCTATATGTTGTAGTAAGATCTAAATTTTTTACAATATTTACACCTATCGTAATACGAAATGGATGACACTGCTCAAATTGCGTAACTCTTGTTAACCTTGCCAGCATAAACCATACCCATTTTTCCCCATCTCTGTAAAACTGTAAACTGTAAAAAAGCCAGCCCCAACCGAACGCAAGCACCCCAAACCAGCCCACACGTACAAAATCACAACCTTCTTTCTCACTCTTCGGTTTATATATCTTTTCTTCTTCATCAACAGCCATTCTCATCCCTTTTCTATCTCTCTCTCTCTCTCTCTCTCACACACAGCTAGTTGTTCTTACTATTTTCCGTACGCTTTTTCATACGGATTCATGCCCCCACTTTTCTCCTACCCATCTGAAAACCGAAGCTTCTAGCCCTGTGACGCTCTGATATCAGAATTCTTCTGAGTCTGGGGGCGTACGTGAAAGCTTTTTCATCCGCCAGGGAGTTTTCGTAAATACACGATTCTCCGGGGGGGTCTGCTCCGACAATTAAAATTCTTCCGGGGGGTTTTGTGCACAAATAAAAAAACATGCAGAAAACGAGCCCGACTCGGGCGGACCAGCTCAAAGCTTCCAACTTGCTCACATTCCCGGAAAAAATCCGCGACTATTTGGTCTTCTCCCTGCGTCTGGGCCTCCTCCTATGCTTCCTCGCGTCGATATCACTCGCCATCTTCTCCGCCTTCTCTCCCAACTCCCATTGGCTCTCCATCCCCTCCCGCACCCAAGCCCAACCCGAGTCCAGAACTTCCGGACCCGAACCCGGATATGAACGAACTGATATCTCCCACATTCTCTTCGGCATCGGCGCCTCCATCGCCACGTGGAGAGAGCGGAGCCGCTCCACCAATTTATGGTGGGACCCGAAGTCGACACGCGGCTTCGTCTGGCTCGACGCGAAACCCGATAACCAAACCAGCAACGTCTCGGGTTCAATTCCGTACCGGGTCTCGGAGGACTGGACCCGGTTCAAATACTCGAGTTCGCAATCCGCGGTTCGTATCGCCCGGATTGTGTACGAGAGCTTCAAGCTCCGGGTTCCCAACGTAAGGTGGTTCGTGATGGGAGACGACGATACGGTGTTTTTCACTCACAACTTGGTTTCGGTGTTAGCGAGGTACGATCACAATCAGATGTACTACATTGGAGGGAACTCGGAGAGCGTCGAGCAGGACGTGATGCACGCGTACGAGATGGCGTTTGGTGGCGGAGGGTTCGCCATCAGCTACCAGCTCGCGTCGCGCTTGGTGGAGCGGATGGACGGCTGTCTGGAGAGGTACTACAATTTCTACGGCTCTGATCAGAGGGTGTGGGGCTGCGTGAGCGAGATGGGTGTGCCGCTCACTAAACTGCGTGGGTTCCACCAGGTACGTTACTTTGTCGTGATTGATTGTGTGTTTTTTTTTGGGTTACACGTGGCGGGATCTGGTGGTATTACTTGGTAGAAAAAGACCTCTAAAGGAGAGTCGGCCAACAGTTTTCGTTTGCTGATGTCGAAATTTTAACGGCGGGTGTGAGTGGTTCTGTGTGTTTCCGCCACGTGTGACTGGGATTTGAATTGGGTTGAACGGCCCATGTTAAATCCGACACCTCACCTCGTCAAATCAACATAAAAAGATAATTTGAATTTGACTAGAGTGAAATTTCTTGGAACAGATTTAGTTGGTAACCCATCATTTGGAAGAAAAAAATTCATGAAAGAATATTTGAACTTAAGGCAACATAATATGAACTCGTTGACAATAATATAACAATCATATTAGATTAATAAGCGATACCGTATTGAAGAAGGTCTCGAGTTCAAATTACAATTGTTGGTTAAAAAAATATAAATTGTAATGCGACAACAAGATGGGGAACACATGCTAAGGTTGAGAACGGCATATATTCTGTCATTGTTCCAAATGATATATTTTAAGCTCCTAAACAATATTCTTCTCATGGCACCTGGCAAAGCATGATATGCAGTACGATGTTATTGTTGGTAGGTTTTATGGTTGTTATGTGTGTTTAATATAATATGAGGATGTTAAAGGCTGCATGCATGTGTTCACTTGTCCTGTTTAGCAAAAAAGTTGGACACGTGTCGTGAAGTTGCTTACTAATTCTTCATTAGATTACTAGGATTAGTGTAAGGTTGCCTAGAACAACATAATGACCATCGAATCGCCCGTCTTCTTGTCTTTAAGCACTTTCCTTTGAAATTTTGGAATTTGGAAGTCTTGTGATTCAAAAAAGTAGGTGGCACAAATTTGTGCAAATGATTTCTTCCACCTGTCAGTCTAGACTTACATTGCAAATTTGAGCTTTCTTTGGGGGCACCGGTGGAATTAATTAAAATTAGAAGCCTCTTTTTAAGTTTCTTCAACCGCTTTTCACAGCAGTAATTAGTTATCTACATGGTTTGGTTTGGTTTGGTGGGTGAGTTTTTGGACCACATGTTTAGGTTAATGTGTTCAATTCATAACACGTTATAATGCAAGTAGAATGATCATCATAACACATCATCAAGCGGACATAACATGATTGCTGGCTTGGAGAGAACGCTTGTTGCAGTTCTTTCGTTGTGAAAAATGAATGTGACCCGTTTGGTATGTTGTGGTATTTTTTTTTCAGTTTGATATCAGAGGGGACGCCTATGGGATTTTAGCTGCGCACCCATTGGCACCACTTGTGTCACTCCACCACCTGGATGCCTTGAAACCCCTCTTCCCAAACCAGACCCATTTAGACTCGGTCAAATCTCTTCTCCGTGCATATCGGGTCGACCCGGGCCGGATTCTACAACAAAGTTTCTGCTACGACCACAGGCGTAAATGGTCAATGTCCATTTCTTGGGGCTACACCATTCAGCTTTACCCATCAATGGTGGCAGCCCTGGACCTTCAGATTCCTTTGCGGACGTTTAAGACATGGCGGAGTTGGAATGATGGACCCTTCACATTCAATACCCGACCCATGAGTTCTGTCCCGTGTGAGCAGCCACTCATTTTTTTCTTGGACCATGTTAAGGTTAGTAAGAGCGGGCTTACTGTGACTACTTATAAGAGGTTCGCGGCCAATGGAGGACAGCAATGTGATAAAGAAGAGTATATCCATGCAAGGGCAATGCAGAAGATTATAGTCTCCTCAAACAAGATGGACCCTCAATATTGGACAAAGGTAACCCCACTTTCATAAATCATCTATTGCTGCTTTTTCATAAATAATATGGTTTGAGCTTAATTTGTGATTAGTGGTCTAATCTAAATTCTAATGGTTCTGATTTGATGGTGTTGAGCAGGAGGAGGCTCCGCGAAGAGAGTGCTCCGAGATTAAGAATCGTGACGGCTTCTGGCATGTGAATATGGAGATTAGGATTAGGGCATGCAGACCCTCTGAATCTATTTTTGTGTAGAGGGTTTAGGATGGCATGCAGTGCTGTGAGATTACAAAATATTATAGAAGTTTTCTTTTTCTTTTTGGCCTTAGCATATATACTACATACGTACTTATAGATCAGTCCATGAGCTATATTAATATTGCACTCCTGTAAATATTCAAGTCTAATAATACCAAGGCTTAGATTAGTCCACACTTTAACTTTCCTTTGTTTTTCCTCTCTCTCTCTCTCTCTCTCACTATTTGATGTGTCAATTAAAACATACGCCCAATAAATTCTTATGTCGAGAAATTCTCAAATGAAAAAATCAGGTCGTCACGTGTTCTCAGTCCACTCATATCATAACACAAGCATACGCACCTGCATATTGACGAATTGTGGCTATAAACGCACCCGCACTATCAATGAAGAAAGCATACGACATGCTCAATTTCCCACCCAAGCGAATAATGTTGTTGCATTTGTCAACTCAAGGGTAACTTTTAAAAAAGCTTGTGCGTGTAGGTGGAAAAGATCAGTTGCAGATGCTTGAAAGCATCTTTAGTGGTTTTAAAAGCATAAGCAACATGGGTGGATTCAGGATTTTAAAATAGAGTGGGTTAAATTTACTTTTAAAATGAAGTGGAACATAAAGATGCAGCTATTGCAGCGTACCAATTTTTTTTTTTTTTAAATTTAATTTTTTTCACTTGAAGGGATTATGTGTGAAGAAGGTTACAGTGAAAGGAAAATTAGCAATCGACTGTTCATAAAAAATATATATATATATATGTAAATAAAAAGAAGTTGGCAATTGGCTAAAAAAGTAATAACAAGACGGAAATACTTTTTATTTTAGAGAAAACTTTACAGAAATGTCATACACAAGAATGTCCTGGAATAGTCAAAGAGAATTCAATTCATTAGTTTGTCTCATCTTAGAGTGTATTGGTGAATGAGCGATGAGCCTGTGAGTCTTTGTGAGCATGGCGTGATTGTCATTAGTAAGCATGGTGGGCTAAATTAAATTTTAGATTGATAAGGAATCATTGGTCATCAAAAACGAGAAAATGTGGAAAGGAAAGGAAAAAAAAAAGGTTTAATGTGATGAGAGAAGTTACATTTTGTGATGAAAGCAGGTTGATCAAGTGTTAATGGGATTTCATATTTGTATCAGTTGGATATCATCACACTAAAATGGTTTAATGTGCTTATGCCATTTGCTAATCTTATCAGTGGAACCAATTGAAAGCTAAAAGCAGTTTACTGTGGTGATGCAAAGCACACAAAAGCATAAACCCAATACATTAAAAAGAAAAAGAAAAAAAAAGGAACAAATAAGAGAGGTGGCCGCAGACTATGGTGACCACCTAACCTCACTCAGCCAAAATTGAGACGCGATATCTGTTGAAAGGTGATGCCGATAATGGCTTAATTGTCAATGGAGAAATAATGAGCAGATAAGTGTTCGCTTGACTGATCCCTCAGCCTCGAAAAAGACTTGTAACAGGGATAACAGCTATTCCCAGCCAATAACATAATGACACGTGGAAAAGTTATCCCACGTGTCATTGTGTTACTCGCCGGGAATTTACCATCCATGTTACAAGAGAGTTTCTCTCGCCTAAGCTTCTGATTATGGTGATCACACACAAACCGAAATTTCAATTAAATATACATACTTTTTTTTCTTTCTATTTTTTAAGAATATAAATATAAATCATAGCTGGCTGGCTGGCAGGCATAGTTACAACAAATTAGGTAACAACGCTCCATTCGAGAAAATTGCAGCTTCTGCAGATCCAAGTAATTACCTCTGTTACAATTTGATCAACCTCTATTTTGGTCAATGATGTATTAATTGCAAAGCAAGGTTTCACGCGTTGGATTTCCAGTTGTTGGGTTTACCCTGTTAACAGAAACAGCGGGTTCATTAGAAAGGAAGCATTTTTGTGAAGATGAATATGCATAATAAATAAGTTATCTTACCCATCAGCAATTCTGCAAAGATATTCCCGTTGATCTTCTCTCAGAGGCACATCTGTGAAGTCTGACCACACAGAGAGCAAATCATCCAAAATTGATTATGTGCTTGATTTTAAGTATTGCAGACGACTTGTTTAAGCCAAAAAAAAACAAAAACAAAAAAAAAAACATTAAAGCTACACTTGGTTTGCCCCAAGGAAATGCAAACATTCCATTATATTTTCCACAGAATATTAGGGCTCAAAGGCACTCCTCAGTATGGAAACTAGCAAAAACTGAAGGCACTCTGGAGAGATTACTAGACTCCACACCGAGGTGCAAAAATTAATTGCTTTGTTTTCTAAATTTACATTTTCTTTTAGTAGCACTAAATACAGCTCGCATGGATTCGAGCACACCTTGAGATGAAGTTCCTAATGATAAGGGCTAAGTCAAGGCTATCAAAAATATCATGATTGAGCAAATGTATTACCTGCACCCGTAATGTTTGATCCTTTGAAAGATGTGTTGCCTGTGGCAAGTGCACCTTCCAAGAGAGCGTTGCTCAGATTTGCCTGCAGAAATGGTACATGCATGTGTAAGAACATTAGAAAACGTTATGGAAACTTGTCATTCTTTATGTTCTTTGCTTGGAAACAACTGAACCTTGGGCCTTGTAGAATCCTAAATGGATGGTTACCACCAAAACCTGAGCCATTGACCAAGGGACGGGGATTTGGGAAGTAACTCATAAAGTCAGGGTGAAAACTAACAGAATTTTAGAAAGGGAATCTAGAAATTTTATAAGGTTCTACTAAACAGGTAGAGGAAAGCCTTTTCCACTGCTATTCTACAGGTTATCCCTGTCAGATAGATTTATCTGTTTTGTTCAAGTTATGATGATGCAATTAAAGGGTAAATTCCTCACAATGGTCCTATTAACTTGACAGAAAGATCAACCAAATTCATTCTCAATGCATCTCGAAACGACAATACTGATTATGATAGTGAGGCAGTGCCAAAAAATTAACAGAGTATGGTAAAACCTGCTAGCTACACACAGAACTATCTCCTCATTCAGCTTATTATTCCACGCTATAATCGGATAACTCCCAGCAAAGGGAGCTTCAGACACACTGTCCAAGTAAGTACATATTAGGATATTACCGGGAAGACTATTAAGCCCCATCCCTATCTACACTTTTCACCATTTACCAACCCAGGTTGCATTAACAGATTGCCTGATAGCAAAGAACATCTAAATTTTCAGTGTAAATAGGAAACACAAAAAACTGCAGAAGGATTTCTTACAAATCAAATAGAAAATTAAAATGTTCCATCAAAGTATACCTTTGTCACATTGGCCAAGGAGAAGTCTACACCTCTTAGATCAGCATCAGAAAGATCAGCCCCTGGAGAGAGAATATCAGGGTAAATAATATAATGAATAGGCCATGTTCTTTGGCTGTATATCAGGTATATGCTTAATCTGTAATTCAAGCCACATGCATATTTCAAGAGTTGCTTGTTTGTTCCTTGTTGCAATATCCTTCCTAAACAATTTTGACATGTGCCATTGTTGCTCAGAAATTAGAGTATTTATTTGGATACAATCTCAGTTTGCCACCTAACTCACATTATATATTTTAAAACCACATTAATAATTTAAACCTATATAATCTATTTTTTTTATAATGAAAATTATTAATAATAAAGTACCTGTTAGATCAGCATCAAAGAAGCTTGCACCTAATAACTTGGCGCCTCTGAAATTTGCTTGTCTCAATATGGACTGTACAACACAATCAACACAAAAACTCAAAATCTATGAATGCATTAAACAGCAAACAATTAAATGAAAGAAATGTGCGCGTGTGTTTGAGCTAAATTTTATCGATTTGGACCGTTTTGAAGTCTTGCTTGATCAAAGTCTTGCCGCTAAAGTCCTTGCCGCTGAGGTCCTGGCCCCTAGTCACCTCTGAACCGTACGGACCTCCACCCTTTTTCACCAACAACGACACGAAATTTAGTGCAATGATTTATTTTCCTTCACTTTCTCGGGAAGCAAACAGAGCATAGTTACTAAAACCTTACCTTAAAGGCGAGTGCCGGATTGGCTACGAACAGAGAAGCAGAGAGCAGAGCGATCAGGCTCGCCTTGCAGACCGAGTCGCCCACAGACAACACAACGTTTCTAGAGGCTTCGAGGTGATTCTTTACAACCTGTGAAAGAAATTTCAGAGTGATTAAATAATGAGATGGAATTGGCTAAGGTACGCGGGTGTGCGCAATGCGCCAAATGTGGAATTGAACAAGAGACACGGAGCCAAAGGGGATGAGGTGCGCAGTGTACCTGGGGCGCAGGATAGCCGGAGAGATAGAGGTGTTGGCGGGAAGGATGAGGATTGGAGGAATAGAGAGGGGGTTTTGGTGGGAGTTTGGAACAGAGGGAGACGTTGAGAACCGCCATTTGCGAATTTTTCTAATCGGATTTTTCTTTCGTTTTGTGTCGCGGATAATGAGCGAGATCTGAATGGATATATATGGGCTGGTCTTGTGTCCACCTGCTCACACCTATCAGTGAGAGCCCAATTAACCACCCCCCCCCCAAAAAAAAAACGATTTCTAATTTTCAATTTTAAGCAACTATAAATACCTTAATTCGTACAATTATTAAAGTTATTCTTCACTTGAAAAATCTTATTTTGAAAGTATAATTTCGCCATATCCCTTTGTTTTGTTGTGTCAACTTTCAAATTTGGATCATATATGATATATATGATAAAAAAAAAATTTCGACTTTAGATCGCATAATACATGTACAAGTTTTTGTCCTATATATAAAGGAAGTTATAAATAGGAGTAGATGTGGTTGGATTTGAATTTGTTTCACCGCTAATTACAATTAAAGTAATTAATCAAACCACAATTGAGCAATCTGATTCTTAGTTCTTTAGGCTTAAGCTTAATACAATACACAATTATATCATTTTTTTTAGTGCTTTTATTTTTTATAACTTGCATTTGCAAATTTCCCAAGTCTAATCGTCATGTAAAATAAGACAAAACAATTCTAACATAGACAATTTTAACAATTTAAATTAAAGCACATGTGAATCTAAGATTGAATATACCCTTAGAACAACATTAAACTTTTCATCAAAGCAAAAGAAAAAAAAGAAAAAAAGTTGATATCAATGTGTCTGATTTAAATAGTTCGATTCGTTTGATAAAAAAAAAAAAAAATTAGTTCGATTGGTTTAAGATCCACCCCGAGTGAGAAGGATTGAAATAAAAAAGATTAGAACTCTTGCTCAAAAAAAGAAAGAAAGAAACGTTTTACTATTATTGAGAGATTATTAATATTTGAAAAAAATAAAAATGAAACACGGTGGACTCTTCTTGTTTACTAGTTGATACTTTCTTCTTCGTTTCTTTCTTCCTCCTCTAGATCCTTGGCCGGACAGTAGGGATTCGACCTCGCTCCTCCATTTTCGAACCAAGGTACACTTCTCTCTCTCTCTCATTAATCTCTTAACTTTACTCACATAATTGCCTTCGCATTTCGAATTTTTGTTGTCTTTTTTATTTTCTGACTTTGATGGATCGCATGCTCCACCCGATCTGGTAGCAGAGCAGTAGACCGGTCGAACGTGAAGCTTGCAATTGGAACTGGCACAGCGGGAGAGAGGGAGGAACCGGATTTGAGAGGCATCTGTCTTGGGATCGCTGGCGAGGTTGAAAGGAGAGCTCTCGGGTAAGTATACAAACGAACATTGGAATTTGAATTCTTAGTCACGATCAAATCTGATATTTGGGACACGTCCAGACTCTGGATTTGACGGTGGAAATTGCCAATGTCAAAATCCATTTCATATCTGTGGAACCAAACAGAGCCAATTTTAGTTTCCTGTTTTTTGGGGCGAGCTGATTAGTGTTTCTTTTAGCTTTAAGTTACCTGTTTAGAGTCAAATCTTTAAGTTTGGACGAAGATGCTAGAATGTAAATTAGTACTTCAAGGTTGCGGGAAACTTGAGTGTGTTTTTGTATGGTTCCGTGAAATCTGATTTTTCTTTTATTTTAGTTTTTTTTTTTTGGGTTAAACTGTTAGTTGGACATTTAGTATGAAGCATACCAACCTGACACTATTTTCTCAGGGAAAGGTAATATAGATTTTCTTGTCATTTCTAGTGTGTTTGGATGGTATGTGTGCATGTAAAGACACCTACACTAAAGAGGAGATTGGGAAGTTATGGCTGTGGTATTTGGTTAGAGTTGCGATGAGGGTGGGTGCCAGGCAGTTATGGTTGCTGAAAGTTAGTGGTAATGGTTATTGTAATTTTATTGTCTGCTTACGTTATGATTAGAAAAGTTGTCATTGAGGCTTCTCCATTACTTGTTGCACTTCATTCAGCTTATCTGGTATGTTGATTTTCTAGGTATCCATTTCCTATGCTTGTTTGCCTTCTCTCCATAGAAGTTGGTGAATACCACTAGAACTTGGGTTCTGTTCGAAGAATATTGTTCGAGAAATGGGCCGTCTAAAGTTGCAAAGTGGAATCAAGGCAATTGAGGAAGAACCCGAGGACTGTGATGCAACCTATTCCAATAAAGCTACATTAGCATGCATCATCAATTCAGAAATAGGTTCTGTATTAGCGGTTATGAGGAGGAATGTTAGATGGGGAGGACGTTATACATCAGGTGATGATCAGCTGGAGCATTCTCTAATCCAGTCTTTAAAGGCATTACGCAAGCAAATCTTTTCATGGCAACATCAATGGCATACCATCAATCCTGCTGTATATCTCCAGCCATTTTTGGATGTGATTAGGTCGGATGAAACTGGTGCACCAATCACCGGTGTCGCTTTGTCATCTGTTTATAATATCTTAACACTTGATGTGATGGATCAGAACTCCGTAAATGTTGAAGAGGCTATGCACTTGTTAGTGGATGCAACCACTAGTTGCCGTTTTGAGGTGACTGATCCTGCATCAGAAGAAGTGGTACTGATGAAGATACTTCAGGTGCTTCTGGCTTGCATGAAGAGTAAAGCATCTGTTATGTTGAGTAATCAGCATGTTTGCACTATAGTGAATACATGTTTCCGTATAGTTCACCAAGCAGGAACAAAAGGCGAGTTGTTGCAGCGGATAGCTCGTCACACAATGCATGAACTCGTCAGATGTATTTTCTCACATCTTCCGGATGTTAATGACACTGAACGTGCTTTGCTAAATGGAAGCAATACTGTCACGCAAGAGGTAATACTACTTTCAAAGTCTACATGTATTATAGGGGCTTAGAGGTGATCTGTTGATTAAGGAGTGAAATAGTTAGTTGTTCTCGCAAATGTCCAATTTTAAGACTTTCTTTGTGAATATGTGGTTGTTTTTCATGTGCAGATTGCAGGGCTAAATAATGAGTATTCTTTTGGGAATAGACAATTGGAGAATGGCAATGTGAGTTCTGGGTATGATGGTCAACCATTATCCACAAATCCGGCCTCGAATTCTTCCTCAGGCCTGGTAGCATCTGTGATTGATGAAAATAAAATCGGGGATTCTACTGGGAAGGATGCTGTTCAATACGACTTGCATCTCATGACTGAGCCATATGGAGTCCCCTGCATGGTGGAAATATTTCACTTTCTATGTTCTTTGTTAAATATTTCTGAGCATATGGGAATGGGTCCCAGATCTAATACCATAGAATTTGATGAAGATGTGCCTTTTTTTGCCTTGGTTTTGATTAATTCTGCTATAGAGTTGGGTGGATCTTACATTCAGAATCACCCCAAGTTATTGAGTTTGGTTCAGGATGAATTGTTTCGGAATCTGATGCAATTTGGTCTATCAACAAGTCCAATTATTCTTTCAATGGTATGCAGCATTGTTCTTAATTTGTATCATCATCTGCGCACTGAACTTAAATTACAGCTTGAGGCTTTCTTTTCTTGTGTGATATTGAGGCTTGCACAAAGTAGATATGGAGCTTCTTATCAGCAGCAGGAGGTTGCCATGGAGGCTCTTGTTGACTTCTGCAGGCAGAAAACTTTCATGGTGGAGATGTACGCTAACTTAGATTGTGACATAACTTGCAGTAATGTCTTTGAAGAACTTGCTAATCTGCTGTCGAAAAGTGCATTCCCTGTCAATTGCCCTTTGTCTTCGATTCACATTCTTGCTTTGGATGGTCTTATTGCTGTTATTCAGGGAATGGCAGAGAGGGTAGGGAATGGATCAGTTAGTTCTGCGCATACTCCAGTGCATCTTGAAGAGTATACTCCATTCTGGATGGTGAAGTGTGAAAACTACAGTGATCCTAGTGATTGGGTTCCATTTGTTCGCCGGAGGAAGTACATAAAGAGAAGGCTAATGATTGGAGCCGATCATTTTAACCGTGACCCGAAGAAAGGACTGGAGTTCCTCCAAGGAACACATCTCCTGCCTGACAAACTTGATCCGCAAAGTGTGGCCTGCTTTTTCAGGTACACTGCTGGGCTGGACAAGAATCTTGTTGGGGATTTTCTGGGAAATCATGATGAGTTTTGTGTTCAGGTTCTTCATAAATTTGCTGGTACCTTTGATTTCCAAGATATGAACTTGGATACTGCACTGCGACTTTTTTTGGAGACGTTTCGGTTGCCTGGAGAATCTCAAAAGATTCAAAGGGTTCTTGAAGCATTCTCAGAGAGATACTATGAGCAATCACCACTAATTCTAGCTAACAAGGATGCTGCTCTTCTGTTGTCTTATTCGCTCATAATGCTCAACACAGATCAGCACAATGTTCAGGTAAAGAAGAAAATGACTGAGGAGGATTTCATTCGGAATAATAGACACATCAATGGAGGCAGTGATCTTCCTCGAGAATTCCTGTCAGAGCTTTACCACTCAATATGCAAGAATGAGATCCGCACAACTCCAGAGCAAGGTGCTGGTTATCCTGAAATGACGCCAAGCCGGTGGATTGATTTAATGCACAAATCCAAGAAGAATGCTCCATTCATTGTGTCCGATTCCAGAGCCTACCTGGACCACGATATGTTTGCTATAATGTCAGGCCCTACAATTGCTGCTATCTCTGTGGTATTTGATCATGCAGAGCATGAAGAGGTTTACCAAACATGCATTGATGGATTTTTAGCTGTTGCAAAGATTTCAGCATGCCATCATCTTGAAGATGTCCTGGATGATTTGGTTGTGTCTCTTTGTAAGTTCACAACCCTTTTAAACCCATCATCTGTTGAGGAACCTGTGCTAGCCTTTGGTGATGATGCAAAAGCTAGAATGGCAACTGTGACAGTTTTCACAATTGCCAATAGGTATGGTGATTACATTCGCACAGGTTGGAGAAATATTTTGGACTGCATCCTAAGATTACACAAGCTTGGTCTTCTTCCGGCTCGTGTGGCCAGTGATGCAGCTGATGAGTCAGAGTTTTCTGCTGACACAGGTCCCGGAAAGCCTATATCAAGTTCTCTATCCTCTGTCCATATACCTTCCATAG